GGTGTGAAAAAGAAAGAATAGATATATAATGGGGTGAAAAAGATTTTGACCCTTATTAGTATATATACAACCTATATTTTTTTATTTGTAATTATGCTAACACTTTAACTTTTATTTGAAATAATACTACACTAGTACAACACTCGTGTATTACACGGGTGCTTGCTAATTTTTTTTCTTAAAATTTAAAATTAATGAGAAAAAGTAGTTTGAAAATTTAAATACCTTTATAAGAATATATATTATTATATATTTATTATGACACTTTTTATTTGTGCAACTTACTTGTGTTATATTATACTATTTTTTTAACTTACAATATATAATTACATTACATATAAATATATAAATTGAGAAATAATTTTATTTTTCTAATGAATTTTAATAAATATTATTATTTTTTATTATTATAAAGATAAATATAATGTATTTATTTCATATATACAATATGGATGTCAAATCGAAGATCATCAAAATATGATTAATTTGATATATTATATATGTAAAACCGATAAGAAATACAAAAGTTATCAACTTTTAAAATGCATTTATAATTCAATAGCTTATTGAAGGAAACAAATGAAAATTCAGAGATATATTAGTCACTTAGTGTCTCACTATATAAAATTACAAAGAATTAAAGGGTTATATTAGTAAAAGTGATATTAAAATACCTAAGTTAGCTAAATAATATTTATGGAATACCCGAACCTAGATTATTAATTATTAATATATCAATATTATTTATCCAAACCTAATTACGAAGCATGATTCTTCGCCAAATAGGATTCCGAAGCACCAAAAGCAACCACGTAGGCTCAGCGCATTCGGAAATTATATTAGGAAGGATTCTTTATCCAACACCTCACTATATTCCCCTTTTTCTTCGCCGTCAATTCTTCTCTCATTTCTTACTTATCTCATCTGCTTCTTCTCATCGATGTGCAGATATAACTTCCCAAATCCGAAATCAAACCGCCACCTTCAAAATTTTTTTCAAAATCACCAAAATTTCATCACCCTTTTCTTGTATTTCAGTTCCGATTTTGCAGATCTTGATGGTGGACGATGCCCAGGTGACGAACAGAGGAGCGGTGATCAGCAGCGCGGACTGACGTCAATTTCCTGAACTGATGTTGTACAGTGACCGGCGAAGGGCGATCGTGACCTAGGGCGTCAATCTCCCTGCTCGCGAGTTTCATCTCCACCAGACAGTATATATGGCGTATATATGTAGTATATTTATACCTTTTTTGTTGTTTGTGTAGTTGCAGGTATATATATTGTATATTTTTCGTATATATATTGTTTATATTTTTTTTCATACGCACACTATTAGAGTGTGTATAGTTTGGCTTTTTCGTAGGATCGACATGATCCTAAGTATATATATTGTATATTTGTCGTATATATACTGTTTATATTATGTATATTTTTTGTATATGTTGTGTTCTCCACCATCTCGTTGATCCATAAATGGACGACACTGTTTGTGATTGACGCTGCTCGTGATGGACGACGTTGTTTGTGATTGTATACTTCAGATGTTTTTTTTAATTAATGAAAGAATACCGTCAGTTACGGAAATCTTATGATGGCAACTGTTTATTTTTTGTTTGACATTAGTTATCCAAATAATTTTGTTAAACTAGGCATATTTGCAAATAAGTTTTTATTTTTGTATTTATGCAATTCTTTTAAATTCCTTACCGTATAAATGCAAATTGCCCTTTTTTTTCTCTTTTGCTGGCCCGTTTAGGAAAAATTATAAAATATAGTAAAATTTCTGTTTTTTTTTTCGACGAAAGAATTATATCCAACCATAATTTTTCATGGCAAAGATTGGTTTTTCAAGCAATGTTGTGCTGTCTTCCCATTTTCATGAATGGATCAACCAACGTTACATTCATATAATATTTTGACATAAATGTTCTACATAATCTATCTCTCTTATTCTTATAAGAACAAAAATATGTTCCCTTATAAGGCTGACACGTGGCTTGTTAATAGGCCTACACGTTGCAGTTTTTAATTTCCTTCAGGAGAAGCATAACGACGCCATTTGTGATTTGCATAAACAACGTCATTTTTGTGATTCTTAGTTGTTAAGCGACAAACCTATGCCATATCTCCATTGCCTAATTGTAACACCCCACTTTGATTTTACAGAAATTTCGAATTTTCCAAAAAACCAGTAT